CCCCAAAACCCCAAAACCCCAAAACCCCATAAAGAGTTATTAAAATAGAATAGAAATATATTTTAAAGCAATGGATACTGATTCGTCAAAAAAGAAGAAAGAATCATTAAATCATAAGTCAGAAACTTCTGGGGATCCTACAGAAAGAAGTCAGTCAGAGAAAGTTAAGCCGAGATATACAGTGTATGGTATGAGATGGGTTATTTGTATTTTCTTTACAACATCAATTGTTGCTAGTGGACTTGGAATGGTTGGTATGAGTGCTATAACTCCGATTATTAGCAAAATATATGATGTGAGTGGACTTGAGACTAGTATGCTCGTACTTCCATTTATTGTCTTGTTTATCCCATGTATCTTTCCTGCTAATTACCTCATTGAAAATTATGGAATAAGTATTCCTGTTTATTGGGCATCCGTAACTCTTCTGATTGGAGCTTGGATAAGATTACTAGTGAATGTAAACTTTTACATTGTTATTGGAGGCCAAGTCATCATGGCATTGGGCCAACCATTTATGCTTTCTGCTCCAGCTAAATTGTCTGCATTATGGTTTGCGGAAAAAGAAATGGCAATTTCCACCACATTAGGGTCATTAGCAGCCCCAATTGGAGCTGTTACAGGATTTCTACTTCCTCTTCCTTTGATAGGAGATTCTGATGCTCCTAGTGATGAAGTATCAGTAGAACATGGAAAAAGCGTCTTTTTCAGGTATATTCTTGTTCAAAACATTGTCATCACTGTATTGGGACTACCAATTATTTTCTTTATTCGGAATCAACCTCCAACTCCTCCAAGCGCAAGTGCTGCAAAGGCTTTAAGAAAGAAACCTGTTAATCAATGAAAGAGTATAGGACAGCTATTTAAAAATGTAAAGTATAATCTCAAATATATAGATCGATTTCATCACTCTCCTGATTTCCTTCTCCATGATATACAGTATTTACACGACTCTTGGGGCTGCAGTAGGACAACTATCTGAAAATTTCGGCTATCCAACTTCAGCCAATAGTCTTTTCGGTACATCATATATTTTTGGAGGATTATTTGGATCGTTTGCTCATGCAATCTTACTTGATAAATACCAAAAGTATAAACTCCAATACTGTTTTATTGGAATAACTTGTATCATTAGTCTGGGAGCTATTGCTGGAACGATTAATTTAGGAATACAAGCATTGACAATTGCACTTTTGTTCTTCCTCGGGTTTGCACAGTTACCGATAATTGGAGTTGCTTATAGTTTCTGCTCTCAACTTACCTACCCAGTTAACGAGGCTCTTTCATGTGGAATGCTTCAACTGTTCGGATCAATATTTGCTACAATTCTTACATTTGTTGTGGGCTTATTACTCGACAAAGGACTAAGGTACCCTGCTGTTTTCCTTATGATTGGCTTCGTTGTTGTTGGAACTTTCTTTCAGTTCTTTGTTAGAGAGATATTGAGAAGGAAAAGAGCTGGATTGAAGAGCAGTTCTTTCTCATTCAATATCGGAAATCATGGTCAATTGCAAGATACAAAAGAGTCTCCTCAAGTGATTTCTGAGCCATTATCCCATCCAACAACTTATACCCCACTTATGGAAGATGATCATTAAATAATACTAAAAATTCAGAGTGCTTCAATACAGAATAGTACTAAAGGGGTTTTGGGGTTTTGGGGTTTTGGGGTTTTGGGGTTTTGGGG